TCCGATACACACTGATTATAAGCCCTTTCGCTGACCGTCTTACAAGAACGTCGAGGAATGCAGTCTGGCAATCAATTTCTTATTGCATGGTGAACTAGCTGGGTGCTTGTAACAAAAGAGTTTAAATGGTCGAGAAAAGGCGTTACGTCTTTGCGATGGATCACACAACTACAGTCATCAACGTATCGAACAAAGAATTTTAGTGCTGCCTTGACTTAGTCGCGAAGCTTCAACGTCTTGAAACCGCCAAATGATTATGAGAGACCCCGTAGTGGCTGGATTCGGAAATTTCGACCACATGTGGTTCTTTCATCATCATCATCATCATCATCAGCCTGACTACGTCCCCTGCAAGACAAAGGCCTCTCCCATGTTCCGCCAGTTAACCCGGTCCTGTGCTTGCTGCTTTCAATTTATACTCGCAAACTTCTTAATCTCATCTGCCCACCTAACCTTCTGTCTCCCCCTAACCCGCTTCCCTTCTCTGGGAATCCAGTAAGTTACCCTTAATGACCAGCGGTTATCCTGTCTACGCGCTACATGCCCTGCCCATGTCCATTTCGTCTTCTTGATTTCAGCTATGATATCCTTAACCCCCGTTTGTTCCCTAATCCACTCTGCTCTCTTCTTGTCTCTTAAGGTTACACCTACCATTTTTCTTTCCATTGCTCGCTGCGTCGTCCTCAATTTAAGCTGAACCCCCTTTGTAAGTCTCCAGGTTTCTGCTCCGTAGCTAAGTACCGGCAAGATACAGCTGTTATATACCTTCCTCTTGAGGGATAGTGGCAATCTACCTGTCATAATTTGAGAGTTCTTGCCGAATGTGCTCCACCCCATTCTTATTCTTCTAGTTACTTCAATCTCGTGGTTCGGCTCTGCGGTTATTACCTGCCCTAAGTAGACATAGTCTTTTACAACTTCAAGTGCACTATTACCTATCTCGAAGCGCTGCTCTTTGCGGAGGTTGTTGTACATTACTTTCGTTTTCTGCAGATTAATTTTAAGACCCACTTTTCTGCTCTCCTTGTCTAACTCCGTAATCATGAGTTGCAATTCGTCCCCCGAGTTACTCAGCAATGCAATATCATCGGCGAAGCGCAGGTTACTGAGGAATTCCCCATTATCTCTTATACATAACTGTTCTCATTCTAGGCTTCTGAAAACCTCCTGTAAGCACGCGGTAAACAGCATTGGGGAAATTGTGTCCCCCTGCCTTACACCCTTCTTGATTGGTATTCTGTTGCTTTCTCTATGAAGCACTATGGTAGCAGTTGATCCCCTGTAGATTTCTTCCAGAATGTTTATATATACGTCATCTACGCCCTGATTCCGCAGTGTTTGCATGACGGCTGATATTTCTACTGAATCAAACGCCTTCTCGTAATCTATGAAGGCTATGTATAGTGGTTGGTTATACTCTGAGCATTTCTTTATTACCTGACTGATAGTATGAATTTGGTCAATTGTTGAGTAGCCTGTTCGAAATCCTGCTTGTTCCTTTGGTTGATTGAATTCTAATGTTTTCTTTACTCTGTTAGCAATTACCTTTGTAAATAGCTTGTATACTACAGAGAGCAAGCTGATCGGCCTGTAATTCTTCAAGTCCTTGTCATCTCCTTTCTTATGTATTAAGATGATGTTAGCGTTCTTCCAAGACTCTGGTACTCTTCCCGTCAGGAGACACCTCGTAAACAGGGTGGCTAGTTTTTCTAACACAATCTGTCCTCCATCTTTCAGCAGATCTGATGTTACCTGATCCTCACCAGCAGCTTTGCCCCTTTGCATGCTCTCCAAAGCTTTTCTGGCTTCTTCTATCATTACTGGTGGGGTGTAATCAGGGTTACTGCTAGTTCTTATAGTATTAAGGTCGTGGTTGTCTCGGCTACTGTACAGATCCCTGTAAAACTCCTCCGCTATCTTAACTATCCTATACATATTGGTAGTTATTTTGCCTTCTTTGTCCCTTAGTGCATACATCCGACTTTTGCGTATCCCAAGTTTCCTCTTCAATGCTTTGACACTTCCTCCGTTTTTCAGAGCGTGTTCAATTCTCTCCATGTTATACCTTCTTACATCGCATACTTTACGTCTATTAATCAACTTCGAAAGCTCTGCCAGTTCTATTTTGTCTGTTGTACTTGACACTTTCATGATTTGACACTTCTTAATTAGGTTCTTCGTTTCCTGTGAAAGCTTGCCAGTGTCCTGTCTAACTACCCTGCCTGGTGGTTCTTTAACGTGCACCCAAATTTGAGCACACCGGTCTATAGCGTTTTCGCCACCATCAAAAATGCAGCCGCCATAGCCGGGATTTGATACCGCAACCTGCGGGTCAGCAGCCGAGTACCTTAGCTGTTAGATTACGACGCTGGGGCTGGAGCGGCCTTATACGAGCTAAGAGCACCGAATGTTCAAGAGCTTCAAAGGTGATTTTCGCACAGGCTACAGAAACGGAAGTCCCTATTGTCCCTATTGCTGTTTTGAACTGTTGCTTGTAAAAGTGTCCGTCGAAATGAAATACGGCTTTTCCATGCTGAATTCCAGGAGCCGGCATAAGTCCTCAGTCTCAAAGGGCATACGTGAAGGTCGTAGGGTAGCAAACCGGGCATGTGCCTGGTTGACCTCCGTGCCTTCTCTCTTGTTGTTCATCTCCCCCCAAGACGCATCATTCTTAAACAGATTCTTGCAACACCGGACTGCGTAATTGACGGGTACGCATCTGAATATTGACTCTTAGGGGGCCATCACCTCGTTGTCGTCGATACATTTCTAGTAAGTTGAATGAAAAGCGTAAGTTCCTTCAGCTAGGTAGATGTGTTTACTACGAAGGGGTGCAGGATACGGGGAAGTTAGCCAGATAATTCGTATAACGAAGAACGTGTGAAGTCAATGATTGGTTGTAGGGACCCCAGCCTTGTGAACCTTCGGTAACCCGTATACTGCAGGTACCGAACTATTACGGGAAAGCAATTTTTAAAAGAAGTACTAGCTTTCTGGGGGCACAAGCTTGAACGCCTCCGTGAGTAGCTTCTAAAGCTTTGACTCTATTTTCTCTCAGGGCCGGCACACCTTAGCATAGGTCATTTCATCTTGAAGCAACGATATCATCTTGGTGATGTAGTCCGAGTGGTCAAGATTAACCGTAGCGTTTTCCTTGCCTGCGGGCAGGGTAAGCATGTCCCCGTTCTGCCGAAGTCTTCACAACGCTGTCTTCTCAGCAACAGCAAGGGTCAGTTTTAGAGCTTGACAGCTTCGAAAGGACCCCGATAGCTCGTGAACTTGCCGCGTCTCGTAGATGGGGATCAACATATCGTACCGCTTGCTACACACCACACGTCATATTTTTAGGTTGGGTCAGTAAACTGCGTTGAAGTTCAGGCCACGGCTGAAGAGACGTACTTGCGAGGTGTTTAGGTTGTGCGAATGCATATCGTGTATGCTGCGCATACCAGACGATTCACAGCTCCGGTGTTCCGGGAGGTGAACTTGGCGCCCAGGTAGTTGAGTCTAATTTCACGGATCCTGTAGGCGACACTACATACATGTGTCAGCCACTTCTACAAGCATATTTGTGACAGGGAAGCGTCTATCAACATGGCTACCTCTATGGCTCATTCGCACTAAGCATTCCGGCCACCAAAAGCGTGCCGAATCCGACTCGGCGGTGGCGGCGAGATCCGCCGAAAGAGCTCTCTCCTCGCCGATCGCTCTCGAACCAATTTTTCCGTCGTCTGCTGCCGGATCGGCTGCAGACGACGGAAAAAGACGACTGCCGAACCAGTAGGAGCGCTAGTCTAGGAATCTGAAAAACAGGGGTGGCCAAGTCCGACTCGCTCGTCATGTGACAGTCAAGTAAAGAGTGCTTAGCAGAAATGCCACTTTAATTTGCGTGCAACTATGCGTCCTATACAATAAACGCCATCCCAATCACAAGGACAGCTTGCTAAAAGAAGACTTGTGGAATAAAATAGCAAATGAGCTTGGAATGACTGGTAAGTACGAGTTCCTGCGCCTATGTTGCTTTGTTCGTTAAATCACGAGTAGCTTGTGATGCAGTTGCCTTTCTCGTCATAGTGGCAACAAGTGTTGAAACCCGTGAAACAAAACGATCCAACTCTTCATGGGCGCACAGAAAGTGCGAGCCGGCAACAACATCCGAGGAACAGCGCATTCATCGCGTGCACGCCCAGTAGTCGATTGTTCACTAGGCAGGTTGTACGCTGTGACTATTAGGCGAATTTGGCGGTGCGGTGTGCGTCTAATGCGAACGACACTGCGTTCAAGCGACAGCAAAATTTCGCTCTCTGTAGAAAGTGCTTCAGTGTGAATTAGAGGTTCGAATCACTGCACATCCAAAAGACACAAAACGCGAATAACCGCGCGTGGGGTAATTTTTCCGATGAATACAAGGGCACTCATCGGCTCCATAGATGACATCTCGCCCTTTTGCATGTTCTTCATTGTGAACAAGGAAACAACCCCGAAATGTCAATATATGTTTTTGTTTTCTTCAGACAAGGCGAGTGCCCATTTTATTTCTTCAAGCGAATCTTTCTGCGCATATGGGCATTGTCGCATGCACAGAGTAGGAAGAATTGAGAATGGTAACGCTTTAACACAACTGGCATTCTTGCAGCAACATAGTTTCGATTATTTTTTCATGTGGAGTTTTTAACAAAAACTAATGTACATGCAGTGACCAAATGGGATATTGCTTTGTATACCCACTGTTCTGAATCAGTTACACAAAGAAAATGGTCCCTATACTCTGTTTCGTACTCTTGCTCGACCGCTGTGCAGCCTCCTAGTGTATGAGGAGGCCAGGCCTCTTAAGATGCTCCACTGCAGCATTTTGGCGTGGTCATTCTCACAATCTTGTTGCCAATAGACTCAATTCGGAATACACAAAATTGTAAGATTGAGGGGGTCAGGTATAGCACCTTTATGTATTTAAATTATTTTCAGACCTCTGATCTTCCTTGCTTTTGGTAATAATGCAGGCAAGGTATTCTCCTTCTGGAGCTCCTGCGAGTCCCTGGTGCCGATCGCGGGCAACCTCTTCTCCAGCCTGGTGTTCAACGCCGTCCTCGAGATTGACGCTGGCCTGCCCTTTTTCATCTCTGCCGCTCTCATGGTCGTACCGCTGTGCGCTGTCATGTGAGGCACACTGTCATTACGTTGTTGTGGCCGCGTTTCACCCACAGTGGATCCCGATACATCCCAGAATGCATAAACAACTGCTAGATTGCCTTATAACGTGGTAAAGATATTGCGTTCATGACTCGGGGGATTAATTTACTCGAGAGCTAGCGTGAACCTCAGCGTTAACGGCGGTATTTCCGACACTTTCGAGTAATAATTTAGGTGATCTACTATAGTTACGGCGAATACAAAACGAGTGCGACCATTTCAAATGACGAATACGGCTAATATAGATGCAATACTTAAGACCATCGGCACCATAACTCAAGGTGGTGTCATGCAAATAGCAGCCATCAGCAATATGATCCCCTATATCCAGCGGAGGGAAAAACAAAGCTAGAGAGAGTGTAGTCTCCCAACGACGACGAACTGCTTTGGTGCTGAGCTTGTGAAGAAGAAGAATGTGTTCGGTTAGGATTAGAGTTTTCTCTCTGCCTGCTTACGAATGAAATCTTACAAACTCGCCTAAAATTGAGTTCTCACAAACATGGCAACGTTACAGTTGTGTATATAGAAAAAACTGGCCCCGAACAATTCATTTAAATGCGAAGCATTTCTTAACGAACTTCGGCGACTTTGAGCGTATCTATCTATCTATCTATCTATCTATCTATCTATCTATCTATCTATCTATCTATCCATCTATATATCTATCTATCTGTCTATCTATCTATCTTTTTTATCTATCTATCTATCTATCTATCCATCTATCTATCTCTCTGTCTATCTATCTAGCCGCCAACCACTTTTAGCTGTTCTGGTCGTTTCGGTAATGGGATCAATACGAAAATTGTTGTGGCATGACATGACTCTATGAAGACCATATTCGACTAGTCATAACATCAAAATCATAACATGTATGTAATGAATGTCATGATTTACATTTTCTGATCCTGCAGCTCTTGTGGTGGTTTCATTCACATGGCATATTGCCAAACAGGTATGGTACGACATGATTGCATGGCGAACACAAGCGACAGATCCTAACACAAAAATCATGACATGCGTGTCATGTAACAACATGACTACATGCCGTGCTCATGAATGTGCTCACGGCCGTTTCGCTGGCGTCACATATACCAAATTTGGTATTACAGTACGTGAATGAATTACGAAAGTATGTGACTGGTGCGAACGTGATAATCATGAGATGCGTGTTATGTAACAACATGACGACATGCCACACTCATGATGCGCTCGCCGCCATTTCACTAGCTTCACTTATGCCAAATTCGGTATTGCATGATGTCAATGAATAACGAAGATATGTGACTGGTGCAAACATGATAATTATGAGATGTGTGTCATGTGAGAGCATGACTACATGCCACAGACAAGGCATCAATACATTTCAACGTGGCGCAGTGCGCGTGCTCTCCGACGTTCATTTCATCGGGTCACGCCGGCGTTGCCACGCCAGGCGCCGGTCCTGCCATACACTCGCAGGCGCGCGCCGCACTGCGTTGCTTTGACGCATGCGCGTTTCAGCGCGTCCGGCGTCTCTCCGTCATGAGAAGAGGGAGACGTAGTGTTGTCTGGGTAACACATCGGCGCGAAATGCAGCATATCGCAATTCGCGCTGGTTGCCGTCGGGCCGCGCCGACGGACGCTGGTCCCGCCGGTCGCGCCTGGCGTCAGGCTATAGAATACTCGTGTTTTGCTAAAGTAGCGTCGCTGCGCTTAGCACACGCGCACGTCAACGCTACATCGGAGTATATTGGGCCCTTTATGATGCACTCGCGATTGTTTTACAAGCTCAACGTATACAAAATTTGGTATCACGTGACGTGAATAGATGACGAAGGTAAACAATACATCCAAACATGATAATCATGACATGAAAGCCATGCACGGCATCATTTACCTCCACTTCGTAACGTTGTGGTGATTTTAAAGTAATACATCAATCTTTGTCATTCGTGCTTCGCACAATATCCATTCTCATTGTACATGGGATCTGCCAATTTTCGTAGTCGGCTTTATAGCCATTTGTGTCTAGTGGTTGTGTCACTCGAAGGCAGCGGATTCAATCCTGGCCGCGGCGGTCGCTTTTCGATGCAGGCAAAATGCAAGTGGCATGTGATATCAGCACACGAAACGCAAGATCTTCAAAAGTTCCACAGCACTTCACTACGGTGTCCCTCGTAAATATAATTACAATTAAGCGAGGTAGAACCTTGTTTAATTGTTATCAGTAATATTATTTTTAAAATACTATTTGTTCTTGTTTGTTGGCGTTCTGTACTGGTTTAGCTAAGTTGATATTGCGGTTTTTGATAGTACGCGATATTTATTTGTTTATTTATTTATTTTATTTGTGAAATACTGCAGGCCAAAAGGCCCAAGCAGGATATTCAATCGGTAATGTCGATATGTCAAATGGTGCAGAAATGCGGAACCTTTGTGTTGCACCTGACCCGAAAGCATGACACGAAGCCTGTGTTTTGAAATGTGCTGTGGGCATTCGGATTTATCGCTGCTGTGGTCGTTAACAGACATGATATTGCAGTCGCGCATAGCACCCGAATTGCAGTTGCATCGTCGCACCCGGTGCACATCTTGGCTGCTTATGCGTGCTGGCTTTGGTTCTAAACACAATTTTTTTCATCGCAGGTACTGCTTGTACAAAGAAGTGGCCATCTACTCGACGCTTTCTCGAAACTACTTGGACTGCGAGTCAGATGCCAGGAATGCTGACATGTCCGGGCCATCCTAGAAGAGTGAGGGCACACTTCTAGCATAATCTGCCAGCCGCTGCTCTTGAGGCCTGCAGGGTCTTCCGTTGCCATGCGCCAGCCAAATGTTCACAAGCCGCGACACGAGTCCCACGCCTTAACCACTATGTCGTGCAGGAACTGTTGGTGTCGCCAAACTTCAGCTCTATAGTGTGTTCTGGGTTGGGGCGACTTGGGGATATTGTGAAAAACCTTGTTGGACAAGTTAGTGACTACTTAATGAAAACTGTGATGATTTTTTATGTTAACCAGTTTCCGTAAAAGTTTTCCGCATATTTCAACTTGGGCACAATGGCACATGCCAAACTGTACTGCTATGTAACCGCTGATCGAGGGCTCGTTTTCCTCCTTTCGTACGTCAAAATGAAAGCCAATGATGCAGAAACTTTTTCAAGATTTTACCTGTACTTTGTTAATTATGAAATCATTGTAAATAAATTTAGGTTGGATGAAGACTTTTCGCAAGTACCGTACCTACAGACTTCGTATAACTTGTTTCGACGCTTTTGCGATTGAGCGACAGCATTGGTAGTCCTTTTGTCTTACTTTGTAAGGTATTGCTGCGCACGTAAACCAGCGACGCTTCCAGTCAAGGTGGCGTGTGTGCAACATATTTTTTTCTTTTACTTATCTAAGACCAGTTACACCTCTTTAGGGGCTGGCTGCTGACCTCGCCCACTACTACAGGCATACAGTCTGCCGGAATGAAACCCTAACTGCATGAACAAGGGAAAGAAAACAAGTCAATTTGTACTTTGTTGTAGCACACACGAAAGACGGGGACATAGACAGAGCATTGCGTTCGGCCACGCGCTCATTTTTCCTGCAAAAGTCAGTGAGCGCTGCCATCAAGTAGAAGGCAACGCGAACACACCCACATTGACATCCGCCAGTGAACTGATCGCTTTCTTTGTTGCACAAAATCAACAGCCGCGTGCAAGTTTCCGCTTCAGGAAGCGTGAGGGGGGAGAAGAAGGCTAACAGTACCTTCCGCTTATTGAGCTTATTTTATTTCAGTTAACCCACGTAAGATTGTCATGGTGATTGATGTTTCGCATGCTGCCGCACTGAACGTTCTATGCAACGTCACAGAGGTGGGTGGTATCAACGTTCACTCCTACATACCAATTAGCGCTACGTCGTCACCGGTGTGATCTACGACGTTGACGCTCCAATTCTCGACTCGGGCTTCAATGGCCTGGTCCAGCCAGCTAATGAAGAAAGTGTCATCGTCAAGGTTGTTCGCTTGGGTATACCTCACGCTGCGTGAAACTAGACTTTATAGGCAACTCTTTGCCTTCGCACTTGAAGATGGGCCACTTCCGACAATCTGTAGGACCGTTTGTGCCGAAGCCACTGCAATATCTTAACTGAAGAAGCTCAGTCACGTGAAAAGTGTATGCGAAGGCAAGCGAGTATGTTCTCGCTGTGCTGAAACCCATTCCGCAGCCACTTGTAAAGCCTCTGTTCTCGAGTGTTCAAACTGTTATGGACCCCACGAAGCTTACACAAAACATTGCCTAAAAATAAAAAAAGAGATAACTGTATTGGGGCAAATGGTGAGAGACCATACATCATCATGAGGCCACCACGACAGTCAAAAAGCGGCGCCATTGGCGCCGAACTCCGTCAGAAAAATCCAATGCCTCTGCATCTGCAGTGCCCATGCCACGCCCTGCTTCACCCTCTCCTTTTCCACCTAGGTTATACTCGGCTGGTATGTAGCAGAATATGGTAAAAAGCATGGTTTCTGCAGAATTCGCTTGGCAAAGCCGCAGTCACAAAGATCAGCGATGGTCCATACCAATAAGACCATTATGGACACAACTGACACAGTTAGGCCTCCGTTGTCGAAGTCGCGGGGACATGCTGATTCACAGCGCACCTCGGCATTTCCAAAAGACAAACCTATCCTAAAATAACTGAATTTAGGAACAGCGCAGCCCAGAAGTAGGTACTTCGTAAAGACGGAAGCGAGAAAGCAAGGACAGAAAAGACCGCTCTTTTCTCTTCTTGTTTTCTCGCTTCCGTGGAAGTAACTACGGTTGTGCTAATAGGTTGTGCTGTTCCTACATTCAGTTATGTCCTACCAGATTGTCCAAGTTTCCACGCTATCTTAAAATAGTTCTTCAACTACTGCTCGAGACACTTCAAGTGTTGTCGGCAGGCTGGAATCGCCACACGCTGAGGCCGTACAATAAGTACTGGACGTTCTACGTCCAGTGCTTGCAAGCCTTCAGTAGGCACCATGAACCGACGACCTACTGTGAAGCGTCATACGCCTGAAGCCCTGCGCCCACTTCTATCAAACTACGCAGCAGTTCAGTTTATGCTCACCTACTTTTTTGTTTTTTCTGTCTCTCTTTTCATCCGTCAATCCCCTTTCCCCGCTGTAGGATAGCAAACCACACGTTCACCTGGTTGACCTTCCTGCCTTTCTTACCTCTACCTCACCTCCTCTTTATTATATATTACATGCTGCGGACACGACGTCCATGCAGGGCAAGTCAAACATCGTAACATCACAAAAGTGAAACAATCTTGTACGTTGAACTATACAGTCCAGAGCATACAACTGAAAAAAAAGAGAAAAAGGCAAAAAAAGTTTTAAGTAAACCACCCTAAACAATGCACGTGTGCAAAGTAAAATGATACGGGTCAGTTGTCCCAATATTTAATAGGTCCACAAAAAAAAAGAATACTGGCAGACGTTAGATTGGGTAACATATAAAACTAGAGCACTCGGGTGATGTTAATGATTAGGCCTCGTCCATAGTGGACTCGTCTATGCTGCCGGATTGAGCGCGAGTTTATTACGGGTAGCTGTGAAAGAAAGTCAAACCATAGTTTTTTCGACGCGATTTAGCAGTGGCAATATCATTCGACGGCATCAGTTCAATTGGTGAGTCGAAAGTATTCTTGTTGTTTAACGTGCCAAAACATCCATGTGATTACGGGAGACGCCGTAGAGGAGGGCTCCGAAAATGGTGAGCCAGAAGTAGAAAACCCATTGTAAACAAACAGAATATCCTGTCTTTGAATTCGTTCAAATTTCTTTACGTTGCATTGTGAGTAGGGGTCCCATGCAGTGCAGGCGCACTCGAGCTTCGGCCGAATCAAGCTACAATACGCGAAAGCTTTAACAGAGGCCGGATCATGTGTAAGTTTGTTTTAAAAAAGCGCATTTTTTCGCAAAGCAGAGGATGATGTATTTCGCATGAAGGTTCAAGTAGAAGTTATAATGCAAATTTTGGCACCTAAATACCTATTGTTAGTGACTTGTTATTGTAGAGAGGCGCCCAGCATATCTTTTAATATGGGAACTGTTTCCTTTCAAGGAAATTGAAGAAAAAACACCTTTCTTACATTCAACGTCATCTCCCATGCAACATTCAAAAATTCGACTGAGGCGTTCATTCAGGTCATCTTGGTCCCTAACGAAGGGACTTCTTTAAAGAACACAGAGTCGTCTGCGAATAACCTTATTTGTACATTCGGTTGAACAATGTCATTGACGTACTGGAGGAACAACAATGTGGAACACTTCCCAGCGGTGCCCCAGAGGTGAGTGGCAGACAGACCAGAAGATGCCCACCTATATCCACAAACTGCTCGCTCTTTTTCACGTATTCAGCTATCCAAGAAAAAAGTAATTCAAAAATATCATATTTTCATAGCCGAAACTTTAGTTAGGAATGAGCTACCTTATTGAAAGTTTTGAAAAAAAAATCCTGAAAAATAAATTGATCTGAAGATATTGTCAATAGCAGAAGGAAAAATGTCAATTAGAGTGACTACTTGTGTGATTGTAGAATATATCTGTCTGAAACCGTGTTGAGAGCTGGTGGGAATAATTTTGCCGTCATAAACTTATTTATGGCTTTTGCAACAACATGCTAAAATGATATACAGCACGAAGATGCTACTAATATTAAGCGACAGTTTTCTAAACGGAGACAATCTTCTTTTTTTAATGGGCACCCCACGGGATGTTTCCAGTCTTTCGGCAAAAGTCAGTGTATAAACCGGGGATGACTGCAAATAGGCAGACTTCCCCCCTCCCCCCATGCACACGCCTATGGCCAGGGGTCTCAAACACGGGAGCCGCGTGCCACAGGCGACTCCCACACCTGTCTCTGTTGGCCCGGCACGCACACGACTTTCTTTGTTCCACATTTTTTCCGCTAATAAGTACCTTCAAATGACGTACACAAGTGGGGTGATTCTTTCCGTGAGAAACTCAATCCGGTCCCCACACGTTGAAGGTAAGCGCGGAACAGGAGCTGTATTTATTGTCTGGATTCTCGTCACTTTAGAGATAAATCTTGATTTTTCTTCTCAAAACTTTTCCTCAAATGGACTTCAGAAACGACTGTTATGCGAGATATGGGAGGGCCTTCTTTCAAATGGCAACTTTAATTGACCTATTGGCTGACAAACTTTCCCCATGAAGGTGACCCGACTGTTCCAACGGTTCACCCTCTCAAAGATCGAGTGACTATATTTCGTGATTGTGACCTGTTGGCTGAGATTAGTTTGAGACGCCTGATACAGGGACAATATTTATATACACATACCGCATGGTGCCATGAAACAGAAGTGCAGCCTTGAAGCTAGGGGGGGGGGGGTGTTGTAACTTGCACCGCATGTCGCCTAAGTTATATGTTCAATCACTTTCTTCATATTGATATCAGAATTACTACAAATAACATTTATAATTTTCCTTGCGTTGTCCGATAGCTCTCGGTAATATTGTTTCCACCAAAGACAAACGGGCCCTTCCGATTCCACTTCTATTGTTCGTAAAGCCAAAGTCTCGTTCGGGCAGACTTGATGCTTGCATGTAATTTGCGAGTGATTCTCGGTCAGCTGCCAGCTCGAAAAAAGATCACGTGCTACGTGGCGTGAGTAGGCAGAAAGAGTGTTCCACACTCAACGCCATCGCTGCAATAGACGCTAACACTCTCAGGTTTAAATGCAATGAAGTGGACGGTGGATGACCGCAGCTGTTGCTCAACAGACCTATCTAGAAATCGCAGCGCTGCGCCTTTCCCTGGCGGGTCGGCGATGGGTCAATAAATGAGAGTGGAGCACCGGCGGGCACGATACTTTCCCACTTTCGCCTGCTTTCATCGCACGCCTTGAGTGGTTTCAGATGGTGTAAGGTGCTGCTCTTGTGAAGAAACGGCTACGTCTGACTGCTCTGACTTTCATGCACGTAAACCAGACTGTGTTGTTGGTCCCAAATCATTACAATCATCACTGAGAATGAAGAAGAAGAAGAAGGTAAGCGACAGCCACACTTGCTCGCTTCCTAGAAGTGATAATACGCGAAAGTCACCGGACGTGTTCTTCATTGCTCGGTGCTACCCCAGGACAAAGATTTTTGTGTTGATGCTGCTGAGTTCCACCTTTGTTAAGATGTTTGTGTCCTCACTCACCGTGATTATGAAGCTAGGCTTTTAGACCTGAA